GCAAAGTGAAGGTTCCACTCCAGACAATTATGGGAACCACTGGTGCAGAGGTGAAATCCAGCAGGTTCTGACAGGTTCTGGAGAACCGGTAGCGGGAATTTTGAGTAGTTCAGAGAACCGGCAAGTGCCACCTCTGACTGGCCCCAGAGTGTGTGTGTGTGGGGGGGGGGGGGATGTGGATTTTGCAGTATCCTTCTCCTGCCACGCCCACCAAGCCACACCCACAGAACCAGTAGTAAAAAAAAAATTGAATTTCACCACTGCACTGGAGACGATATAACTATCATCCCATCTAAAAATCCTCTCTGTGGTTCTTCCTGCTCAGACAGACACCTCCTTCAACATCCCCACTTTGGAGGGGCTAAGCCTCAGCAAAAGCCAGGATGACAAGGTTACACCCCCCCCCCCAAATCATTGTAGTCTCCAACGGGGCCTCTAAGTGAGGGACAGTTCAGCAAACCCTGATGAGGATGTAGGTCAGAAAAAGGCACCGCTCTTCATACTGGAATTAATCAAGAGCATCAAAGAGGTTGGAAGCCAAGAAGTCCTCATAGAATGAGGAATGTACAAGGAAGGATTCTCCCTGTGTGTCCCCCGCCAAAAGATAGAGCTGCAGCGTAGCCACAAGAGTCACATCTGGTGAATGGGAAAGAAGCCAGCTTTTTGGGGGGGGGGGGGAGAAGAGCTGGCTGGAGAATTCTGGGAGTTGAAGTCCGCAAGTCTTAAAGCTGCCAAGTTTGAAGACCCCTGCTCTATGGGGACCCTGGGAGAAACACACCAGCTGCACAAGAGAAGAGAAATTAGCTTACGCTGATGGTATCAAGGTAACCTTGGACTTCCACCAGGGGTATTTTGTGGTACCACATCCCGGCCAGGTTGCGGTTGACCGAAAGGTCCAGATTAATGGGGCGCAAAATTTGAATGTCTGGCTGCGAAGCCCCTCGCTGCAAGACTGTCCTAGAGGAAGTCACACAATTATTGTGGGGTTAACGTAACTGAAATCTCCCCAATCACACCGCGCTTCACGGTCGAAGAGGAACCCGGTTTACCTGGACAGCTTCAGCTGGGTGAGGTGAACCTCCATTTTATCCACGATGGGAGGCAGTGAGCAATCCTCTGCCGGCACCAGGCTGAACCGGTTCTGTATTTTAATCAGCCCAAGGTCAAAGACCACAGCGTTGCAAGAGACGGAAGACTGCGGGACGACGATGACGGGGGCCTTCAGGTTGATGTCCATGGCGAGGCGGAAACTCCTCTGGGCGAAATCCCTCATGCTGGTGGCGGCCTTCTCGGCGGCCTGCACCGTAGCCGCACTCAAGGCCTCGGTGGCGATTTGGAAGTTGCTCAGGAAATTCTGTGACAAGCAAGAGGCTCACAGGTCAGGAATGGGCCGAGGAAGCAGTGGACCTAAGAGACCGTCTCCTGCCACATACCTCCCTAAGACCGATAAGATCGCACAGGATGGGCCTTCTCCGGGTGCCNAGTAGCCTGCAGTGCTGCATTTAACCACTGCACCACCTTGGCTCTCTAAAATGCTTAAAACTCAAGCAGAGCTTTGCACAACGAAGAATAAAAATCCAGAAGACAAAATTGAAATATTTAGAAAAATGTGATCCGCAGCTTAACGTTGTCCTCTAAAAGCCTGTGTGTAATCTGAGTCACATTCATTTGTGAAATCCTTCATTAAATATGACTTACCAGTGAATTCAAGGCAATTCATCTGCACTTTCTGAAGATATGCTGTAAGCGTCATATCGTGCATTTTAATTCTACCTTCGCTTCCAAGTTTTAATACCGTGAGCCTGTACAAAGGAAAGCTTTGCTTTTCCACTTGCTTCGTTAACGTAACTAAGACCTGAAAGAGGGAAGAGAAAGTATATGAAAGGTAGCACATAAGACACGTAAAAATACACCCAGCCATTCATATTCCGGTTGTCTATCTGCATTTGCCATTTTGCCAAGCCACTTTCAAGGAGAGACGGGTGTGCTGTAGGAAGAAACAAGAATGCAGGTCTGTCAGATTCACGAAGACGCCAAAAATCCTGGAAGCCACAGAGCCTTTAATCAGAACAGAGAAAGTTATGATCCTGACTTGTCCTGATGGAGGCACCATCCGGCTGGCTCCGATTCAGGAGTCCTGAGAAACCCCACCATTTCTCACCAGCCAGGATGAGCCTGGAAAGTGGGGTGCTAACTTACTCCCCCCATCTCTTTTCAGCCCTCCTGCCCACAGGAGGGCAAAGCACAAGCTTTGACGAGTCCAGCTGTTGGCATCAGCTAGAAGGGCAGGGAGGGGCCCTCCAGAGAAAGGAGGGCAAAGCCCCCTGGGAATAAACCGACGGGGGGGGGGGACCACTAACAATAACCGGCTCTTCTGGCCGGAGGAAGGAGAGCAAATAAGGCTGTCCTTGCCAGCACTTATTCAGGAAACGGGATACCTTGGGTCTGAATTAGGCTTAAGCTGCTGCTGCTGCTGCAGGCCGATTCAGAAGTTGAATGCTCCACTGCCAAGCAAATAAGCGGTGTTTAAAATAAATAAAATCAATCAAAAGGAGGAGCCGTGGGTAAATGCAACTGAGCCTCGTAAGTTGCCTACCTTGTTTATTTCAAAGTTCAGCAGGAGGCTGGTCTTATCATCCTTCTGGGCTTCTTCCGAGAGGCTGGATTTTGGGGCTCCAGCCGACGGCACCGGTTCTTTCACCTTGCCTGCGCATCCCCCAAAACAAGAGACTTCCACTTAAAGGCTGCTGCAAAGCCGGGGGCTTCTTGATGAGTTTAAAGTCATGAGCTGTGAGCCTGGATCAGGCCAGGAGCCCCTCCCCACCAGAGCCCCTTTCAGCCTGCTGCCATCTGCCTGTCTGTCCACGGAAGAGCACCGGCGGATGAGCTCCCTCCTCAACTCCCAGCGTGGGGGGGCGGGAATGCTCCAGCTACTCAACCTGGGAACAGAGACCCACCCAAAGATGTCCTACCTTCCGTCGAGGAGGCTGCTGGTTCTGCCCCAGGGTCTGTTTTGTCTGCTTCAGCCAGGTTTTCATTCATAACTTTAAGCAGGACGTTTAAATCCTCCTGACTCAGGATAATCTAGAAACGGGGGCATTTGGGGGGGGGGGGGAAACCCCGAACCATTCTTAGAATTCTTGCAGGGGGGGGGGAGGTTACGTTTCTTCGGGCTGAATGAGCCGCCACGAAACAAGGGGGGGACTAACCCCAACCCTGCCCGTCGAATGCACAGCTACATTCATCCGCCTTTTGGCCAAGACCCTCCTTAGCTTTTATCATTCAGCGCCCCCCACTCCGCTTTTCCGTGCTTCTGTCGCAAACAGGGCAAAGTGAAGGTTCCACTCCAGACAATTATGGGAACCACTGGTGCAGAGGTGAAATCCAGCAGGTTCTGACAGGTTCTGGAGAACCGGTAGCGG